TTCCCTTGCCTTTGGCGATGTTTCTAGGAAGAAGTTGCTTCGGCTGAGGTCAAAGAGGGTGCTGCCTGTGTTCTCCTTTAGGACTTGGATGGACTCCTGTCTCACATTGAGGTCTTTCAACCATTTGGAGTCTATTTTTGTGTGTGGTGTAAGGAAATGGTCCAGTTTCATTCTTCTGCATGTGGCTATCCAATTTTCCCAACCCCATTTGTTGAAGAGACTGTCTTTGTTCCACTGGACATTCTTTCCTGCTTTGTCAAAGATGAGTTGACCATAGAGTTGAGGGTCCATTTCTGGGCTCTCTGTTCTGTTCCATTGATCTATGTGTCTGTTTTTGTGCCAGTACCATGCATGCTATCTTGATGATGACAGCTTTGTAATAGAGCTGGAAGTCCGGAATTGTGATACCGCCAGCTTTGCTTTTCTTTTTCAACACTCCTCTGGCTATGCAGGGTCTTTTCTGGTTCCATACAAATTTTAGGATTATTTGTTCCATTTCTTTGAAAAAAGTGGATGGTATTTTGATAGGGATAGCATTGAATGTGTAGATTGCTGTAGGTACCATTGACATCTTCACAATATTTGTTCTTCCAATCCATGAGCATGGAACGTTTTTCCATTTCTTTGTGTCTTCCTCAATTTCTTTCATGAGTATTTTATAGTTTTCTGAGTACAGATCCTTTGTCTCTTTGGTTAGATTTATTCCTAGGTATCTTATGGTTTTGGGTGCAACTGTAAATGGGATCGACTCCTTAATTTCTCTTTCTTCTGTCTTGGTGGTGGTGTATAGGAATGCCACTGACTTCTGTGCATTGGTTTTATATCCTGCCACTTGACTGAATTCCTGTATGAGTTCTAGCAGTTTTGGGGTGGAGTCTTTGGGGTTTTCCACATAAAGTATCATATCATCTGCAAAGAGTGAGAGTTTGACTTCTTCTTTGCCAATTTGGATGCCTTTGATTTCTTTTTGTTGTCTGATTGCTGTGGCTAGGACTTCCAATACTATGTTGAATAGCAGTGGTGATAGTGGACATCCCTGCCGCGTTCCTGACCTTAGGGGGAAAGCTCTCAGTTTTTCCCCATTGAGAATGATATTCGCTGTAGGTTTTTCATAGATGGCTTTTATTATATTGAGGTATGTACCTTCGATCCCTATACTCTGAAGAGTTTTGATCAAGAAAGGATGCTGTGCTTTGTCAAAAGCTTTTTCTGCATCTATTGAGAGGATCATATGATTCTTGTTCTTTCTTTTGTTAATGTATTGTATCACATTGATTGATTTGAGGATTTTGAACCAACCTTGCAGCCCAGGGATAAATCCCACTTGGTCGTGGTGAATAATCCTTTTAATGTACTGTTGGATCCTATTGGCTAGTATTTTGGTGAGAATTTTTGCATCCATGTTCATCAGGGATATTGGTCTGTAATTCTCCTTTTTGATGGGGTCTTTGTCTGGTTTGGGGATCAAGGTAATGCTGGCCTCATAAAACAAGTTTGGAAGTTTTCCTTCCATTTCTATTTTTTGGAACAGTTTCAGAAGAATAGGTATTCTTCTTGAAATGTTTGGTAGAATTCCCCTGGGAAGCCATCTGGCCCTGGGCTTTTGTTTTTTGGGAGATTTTTGATGACTGCTTCCATTTCCTTAGTGGTTATAGGTCTGTTCAGGTTTTCTATTTCTTCCTGGTTCAGTTTTGGTAGTTGATACATCTCTAGGAATGCCTCCATTTCTTCCAGGTTATCTAATTTGCTGGCATAGAGTTGCTCATAATATGTTCTTATAATTGTTTGTATTTCTTTGGTGTTGGTTGTGATCTCTCCTCTTTCAATCATGATTTTGTTGATTTGGGTCATTTCTCTTCTCTTTTTGATAAGTCTGGCCAGGGGTTTATCAATCTTGTTAATTCTTTCAAAGAACCAGCTCCTAGTTTCGTTGATCTGTTCTACTGTTCTTTTAGTTTCTATTTCATTGATTCCTGCTCTGATCTTTATTATTTCTCTTCTCCTGCTGGGTTTAGGCTTTATTTGCTGTTCTTTCTCCAGCTCCTTTAGGTGGAGGGTTAGGTTGTGTACTTGAGACCTTTCTTGTTTCTTGAGAAAGGCTTGTATTGCTATATACTTTCCTCTTAGGACTGCCTTTGCTGCATCCCAAAGATTTTGAATAGTTGTGTTTTCATTTTCATTGGTTTCCATGTATTTTTTTAATTCTTCTTTAATTTCCTGGTTGACCCATTCATTCTTCAGTAGGATGCTCTTTAGCCTCCATGTATTTGAGTTCTTTCCGACTTTCTTCTTGTGATTGAGTTCTAGTTTCAAAGCATTGTGGTCTGAAAATAGGCAGGGAATGATCCCAATCTTTTGGTACCGGTTGAGACCTGATTTATGACCTAGGATGTGATCGATTCTGGAGAATGTTCCATGGGCACTAGAGAAGAATGTGTATTCCGTTGCTTTGGGGTGGAATGTTCTGAGTAAGTCTGTTAAGTCCATTTGGTCCAGTGTGTCATTTAAAGTCTTTATTTCCTTGTTGATCTTTTGCTTAGACGATCTGTCCATTTCAGTGAGGGGGGTGTTAAAGTCCCCCACTATTGTATTGTTGTCGATGTGTTTCTTTGGTTTTGTTATTAATTGCCTTATATAATTGGCTGCTCCCATGTTAGGGGCATAGATATTTACAATTGCTAGATCTTCTTGTTGGATAGACCCTTTAAGTAGGATATAGTGTCCTTCCTCATCTCTTATTACAGTCTTTGGTTTAAAATCTAATTTGTCTGATATAAGGATTGCCACCCCAGCTTTCTTTTGGTGTCCATTAGCATAGTAAATGGTTTTCCACCCCCTCACTTTCAATCTGGGGGTGTCTTTGGGTCTAAAATGAGTCTCTTGCAGACAGCATATCGATGGGTCTTGTTTTTTAATCCAGTCTGATAGCCTGTGTCTTTTGATTGGGGCATTTAGCCCATTTACATTCAGGGTAACTATTGAAAGATAAGAATTTAGTGCCATTGTATTGCCTGTAAGGTGACTGTTACCGTATATTGTCTGTGTTCCTTTCTGGTCTATGTTGCTTTTAGGCTCTCTCTTTGCTTAGAGGACCTCTTTCAAGATTTCCCCTAGGGCTGGTTTTGTGTTTGCAAATTCCTTTAGTTTTTGTTTGTCCTGGAAGCTTTTATCTCTCCTTCAATTTTCAATTTTCAAGCAGCCTAGCTGGATAGAGTATTCTTGGCTGCATATTTTTCTCATTTAGTGCTCTGAAGATATCCTGCCAGTCCTTTTTGGCCTGCCAGGTCTCTGTGGATAGGTCTGTTGCCAATCTAATGTTTCTACCCTTGTAGGTTACATTTCTCTTCTCCCGAGCTGCTTTCAGGATTTTCTCTTTGTCTATGAGACTTGTAAGTTTTACTATTAGATGTCGGGGTGTTGACCTATTTTTATTGATTTTGAGAGGGGTTCTCTGTGCTTCCTGGATTTTCATGCCTGTTTCCTGCCCCAAATTAGGGAAGTTCTCTGCTATAATTTGCTCCATTATACCTTCTGCCCCTCTCTCTCTTTCTTCTTCTTCTGGGATCCCAATTATTCTAATGTTGTTTCGTCTTATGGTATCGCTTATCTCTCGAATTCTGCCCTCGTGATCCAGTAGTTGTTTATCTCTCTTTTTCTCAGCTTCTTTATTTTCCATCATTTCATCTTCTATATTACTGATTCTCTCTTCTGCCTCATTTATTCTAGCAGTTAGCACCCCCATTTTTTATTGCACCTCATTAATAGCCTTTTTGATTTCTACTTGGTTGGATTTTAGTTCTTTTACTTCTCCAGAAAGGGTTTCTCTAATAACTTCCATATTTTTTTCAAGCCCAGCTAGTATCTTTAAAGTGATGATTCTGAACTCTAGATCTGACATCGTACTAATGTCCGTATTGAGTAGGTCCCTGGCAGTCGGTACTACCTCTTGTTCTTTTTGTTGAGGTGATTTTTTCTGTCTTGTCATTTTGTGCAGAGGAGGATAGATTAATGAGAGAACAAAATGCTAGCAGAGTAACAACGTCCCCAGAAAATATACTCTAAACAAATCAGAAAAGACCTGAAGCAGTGGGAAAAGAAAAGGAAAGAGAGAAAAAAGAAAAAGGAAAAAAAGAAAAAGATAAAGATAAAAACAGAAACAAACAAAACAAAACAGCAACAACAACAAAAAAAACAGAATGTGATCAAATATGATCAGGCTGGTATATAGATCAGTGCCACACACTAGATTTGGGGTGTATTTTGGTCTTTCAGGAGAAAGCGCCTCCCAAAATTTTAAAGGAAGAAAAACTTAAATATGTACAAAAATAAGGGTTGATATGATGAAGGGATGGAATATGACTGTAAAGATGGAAATTATAAAAAATTTTATAAAAGGAATTGATAAGAAGTTGTTTGAAAAAAGAAAGAAGAGGATTTGAAAAAAGAAAAAAACAAGGGAGAGGATGTGATCAGGCAGGGGAACAGAAAACACCATATACTAGAGATTTAGGGTATATTTTAATCTGTTAGAAGAAACTATCTCAAAATTTTAAAGAGAGAACAACTTATATATATAAGCCAAAAATACGGGTAACTACTATGAAGGGATAGAATATGACTCTAAAAATGAAAAATAAAAATGTTTTTTTTTTTAAAAAAAGGGATTGATAAAATGTTGGTTGAAAAAGGGAAAAAAATTCAATAAGAAAAAAAAAAAGACAGTAAAAAAAATTAACTTTGAAAGACTAAAGAATCATGGTAAAAAAGCCATGAATTCCATGTGCAGTAGTCCCCTAGCACTGGAGTTCTGCCGTTCTCATTGATCGGTAAACTTGGTCTTGGCTGGTTGTTCTCGCTGATCTTCTGGGGAAGGGCCTGTTGCCGTGGTTTCCAAAAGTCTCTGCCGGAGGCGGAAGTGCCCCGCCCTTGCCCCCTCCCGGCTAATCATCTGCTCGGGTTTGCTCTCCGGGGCTTTTGTTCCCTGCGAGCTTTCCGTACAGCTTTGGAGGCGGAGAGCGAAAATGGCGGCCTCCCAGTCTCCGCCCCGGAGGAGCCGAGAACTCGGGCCCGCTCCTCAGTGAGCCCCCAGAGAAAAGCCGTCAGCCACTCCCGTCTTCCCGGTCTCCGGCCGCTCTCCGTGCTCACCCGGCCTGTGACCGCGCGCCTCTATCTCCAGCACCCGACCCCGGGTGGAGTCTCCAAACCCAGCAGATCCCTGCGGTGCGCTCCCGCGCAGCTCCGCCTGGGGGAGGAAGGTGAGTCTCCCCGGATCTGCCGCTTGTTGGGTCCCTGCTGGAGGAGCAGGGGCCCGGCTATGTCGCGGATCACGGTCAATGGCCACCCCGAGCTGAGAGCCCGCGCCTGGGCTCCGCCTCTGCAGCCGGCTTCCCCGCTCCGATCCCTGGGAGCTCTGCCGCACTCAGGCGCCCCCGGTCTTTCTGTGACCCCGAGGGTCCTGAGACCACACTGTCCCGGAGGGTTCCACCCCCCGCTTAGCCACCAGAGTGACGTCCCTCGGCGGAGCAGACTTTTAAAAGTTCCGATTTTGTCTCCGCGGCTCTATCACTTGCCAGAAGCGCCGACGGAGGCCCCTCCCACGCCGTCTATCCTCCCGAATATCGCCTCGGATTCACTTCTCCGCACGTCCTACCTTCCAGAAAGTGGTCGCTTTTCTGAAAGAGTTGTTGCTATTCCTTTCTTCGATCTCCTGTTGGGTTTGTAGGTGTTCAGAATGGTTTGATCCCTATCCAGCTGAATTCCTGAGAGGAGACGAAATCCAGGTCTCCTACTCCTCCGCCATCTTGCTCCGCCCCCTCTCTTTCTCTTTTTATAAGGATGCCAGTCCTATTAGATTAGGACCCAATGTTTACGAACTCACGTAACCTTAACTACCTCCTGAAGGCCCCATCTCCAAATACAGTCACATAGGGATTAAAAAATCTCACTGAGATGACTGTTTAATATATTTCCTAAAAGTTACTTAGTTTTAAAAATCGCATTAATTTTGTAATGCTAGATCAAGTATTTTTAAGTAATTCTTAAAATAGTATAATAATGATATATACTCTAGCTTTTTAATCTAATAATAACTCACTCTCCCATAATTGATCTGTTATTGGTCTGTCCTTTTTCTCTGAGGTGTTGATCTTTCTTAAAGTTACCAATAGGGGAAAAAATGAATAATTTGTCTTATAGATATGATTTTTAATTGCTGATTGTTCTTTAAATTCTACAACTGGAAAAACTATTGCTGTCTATTAAAACTGGATTTTCTTGTGACTATAAAGGTAATTATTTCCCACAACACAAAAGAAATTGATTTGTGAACCATATATCTAGAAAAAGTGTTTCCTGTTTTCTTTCTTCTTAGGTCACAACTAATTGAGATTACTAGAAAATAAAAATGAAAGGACTTGTTTTTCCATCTGTTAACCTAATTTTTCTTCAAGAAAGTTGAAAATAGCACTTGTTAGTCTGTGATATTCGAAACATTATTAATGTTGCTCCTAAAGTATCTTCCTTTGAATCTGACTTAAAAAATAAATAGAAAGACCAAAACCAACCTTTTTAATTTAGATTTTTTAAATGTGATGTACTCATGTGTTTAAATAATTATACCTTCTACTCTTCAGTTTTCCATTGGCATTGGTGTTGGCTGGCTTAAGAAGTATGACTGATGGATATGGGTGTGTAATATCTTGAGGTTCTGGTTATTACTATTTCCTAGAAGTGTTTTACTTCAAAAACGTGTTACCGGTCACCTGGGTGGCTCAGTTGGTTAAGCGTCTGCCTTTAGCTCAGGTCATGATCCCACGGTCCTGGGATCGAGTCCCACATCAGGCTCCTTGCTCAGCGGGGAGCCTGCTTCTCCCTCTGCCTGCCATGCCCCTGCTTGTGCTCTTTCTCTCTCTCTTTCTGACAAATAAATAAATAAAATAAAATAAAAAAAACCTTGTTACCCACAAACTATGGCCATTCAGTATTAGAGTTGTTATTTAAGATAATGCCTGTGTTATAGTGTCATGAGTTCTTAATTTTGTTCACTTCAGAGGCTGTCATTGTAATGCTTTCTAAATTTCCTTCTCACTTCCAACTGAACGTTAGTTATTTCTTTAAAGAAGACTTATTCATATTTCTAAATAAATTAGTCAACATTTTGTTTTTATTTACAATCTCTCCAAGACAAAAATTAAGATTTTGAGAAGTCTGAAATACAGACAGAGTCTTCAAGAAACTATTAAATGTCAAGTATATATTGAAAGGTATATATTGAAAGCTGCTCCATTTTGTAATGGTAAATTAGGGAAAAGAGAATTTTATTTTTAGAAAGGCTAGCTTTGAACTTGTCATTTAAAAAAATCAATGGTGAGGGGCACCTGGGTGGTTCAGTCGGTTAAGTGGCTACCTTCGACTCAGGTCATGATCTTGGGGTCCTGGTGATCCAGCCCCACGTTGGGCTCCCTGCTCAGCAGGGAGTCTGCTTCTCCCTCTCCCTCTGTCCCTCCTCCCCTCTGCTCCTGCTCTCTCTCTCAAATAAAAGAAAAAAATCAATGATGAAACATTTAGTAAGAAAAACTGCAATAGAATATGTAAATATAACAGTATTATATAATAGTATCATATAAATATAAATAAAATGGTATCATAGGTAAAAATGATCATTCTAAAATTATGTTTCTAAAATGTTTGTTAAGTGACCAATTAGATCATTTTAATTTAAATCCAACAAACTGGTCAAGGAATGACTTCTTCCTTTTCTGACTTCCCATGGCAGTTCATTTCTTTGTCAGTTTTTGAGCTATTATTGCAGTTTCTGTTAATCTTTGCAGTGATTTGTAAGGTGTAGGACTCTGCCTGTTTCTAGGAAGGCCACAAAATGAATCTCATGGGCCTCGATTAGTATCAAATGAAAGATCACACAGATGGTTCAGGATATAAAAACAGAAAAGAATCACATCGGACTTGTATTCCCAGTCTAGAATGTTTTATCCTTGTTTACTAGGCATTTTTTGAAAAGAATAGGGATGAATAAAGGGAGTGAGAAAGCTTTTAAATTATATTTATAGTGATTCTCAAGAAACTGCTTGTTTGACTTTGCATATCAACCTCTCCATCAGCGTTTGAATTACAACTATCTCATTCTCATCCTTTGGCCTACTCTTCCTCCCGTTTCTGTAGCATGTTTCCACCTGGTGCCTAGGTCAGGTTACAGCCTTAGGGACAACAGCGGGGAGCACTTTGGGGAGTACTGTTGGGAGGATTAAGTCACCACTGTAATGCTTCTGTAGGGCTTTGGACATAGCCTATGTCCAGTGACTTTCCAGACTTTGGTGTTATGCCTTTGAGGCCATTTCCATACCATTTACTTATAATCTTTTAGCAAAATAAATATTACCCCTATTCCTCCAGCTTTTTCACTGCTTCACCAGCCTATTTGTGAATTCTTGATCTGTTCAAGCCATGGCCTAAGTTCTGAGTCAGTGGTTCTCAAAGTGATACCTGAATCAGCAGAATCAGCATTGTCCTGGAAGTTGCTCGAAGTCCAGATTCTCAGGATCCACCCCAGACCTCCTACATCAGACATTCCAGGAGTAGGGCTGTGCCTTCCACATGATTCTGATGCATTCTAAAGCTTTAGAACCACTCATTTAAATAAGATTAGTCATGTGCTCAGCAGGTTAGTTGGGTCAGATTTTTGTGTTTTCTAGAACATATGGATCTAATATTTATTGGTGAGTGAGCCTTCATTTTATGCTTAGGCCTCACTAAGAAACAGGCAAGTTTGGTGGCAGTTACTTACCCACTGTAGGAGACGTGGAGGCGGGCACTGGGAAGCTCTGCCAACATCCAGGCACTGCTGCTATAATAGCTTCCACCTCTCCCCCTCATGCCAAGTGTTTCACTTTGACTAAGCTCCTTTAGAGTCATTTTAGATACATCACTTTTCAGTGTACTAAGGAATTTGGAACCTAATGTATCTTAATCTTCCTAAACCTATTAAAGTGAGTCCCATGGTGTTTTGTTTTGTTTTTTTACTATGGCAGCTGGCAAGATGCCGTCTTTAGACTCAGTAACCCTAGTCATAGAAAAGAGGAATTTAGGGACACATCTATAATGGCAGACTGAATACCCTGAATTTTCATATTATTGAGCAAGTAAAAAGATCCTTGTAGTTTCAAAACTCCTTAGGATTAATGGACTTTAGCTTTTATCTATGAGTAACACTGGCTATTGTGTAGGTTTAATTGTCCTTTTAAAACATAAAAAAAGAATTTTGTTCCTTTGTAAACTAAATAAAAATTATTATTATACCTTACAATGCCATATTAACAAATTTAGGTGGCAAATGGCAGGCTAAACTAGTATTTGCAATATATGGCGTATTAATAAACTTAGTATAAAAAGAACACCTGCTAGTTAAGAGAAAGATAAAAACTAGAAACATGGGAAAAGCACATGAATAGGAAATTTAAGAGATACGAATGACCCACACTTGAACAAATGTTCTTCCTCCCCGAAGGTCAACCTGGCAAACATTAAAAAAGAAAGTTACTGCCCAGTGTTGACCCAGATTTGGTGTGGAACAGACACACTTCTCCTTCAGCGAGGAGCTGAGGTGGCGCGTTTGCTCCCCGTGGCTGCTGACGCACATCCAGAGACTTGGTGTCTTACAACACTACACATGTGCTCTTTAACGGGTCAGGAGGCCCGAAGTCTGACTGGGTCTCACTGGGCTAGAGTCCAAGTGCGGGGAGGGCTGCGGTCCTTTTTGGAGGCTTGTGGGAATATCCGTTTTCTTGCACGGAATGCCGTGCTTGGTTTGAGGCTCTGCCTTCACAGTCTTGAAATTGTACTGGGTCTTGCAAATTATGTCGGTGGTTCTGCTTCTACCTTCTTGCTCTTCGTCCCCCTGAGCCTTGTTTTGGCTTGACTCTAACCTCTCTTTCCTTGGCCCTTCTTTGGCGCTAGGCCCTGAGTGGCCCTAGGCTGCCGCTGCCCTGCGGTGCCCACTCAGCCCCACTCCTGTGTCTGTGATCGGACCCGGCCGCTTCTCAGCCCTGCCTAACCTGCTTTGCCTCCTCCCTTCTCACCAGTTGGGAACGTTGAGCAGTTCTGTTTTCCCTTTCGGACTATCTCTCCTTTTTTCCAGATTTTTTCTCCTCACATCTCAGGGTGTCTTTGCCTTGAAGGAGTTTTGTTTCTCTGACAAGACTGCACATTACACTCACGCATATCCTTTATTTCAAGATTGTACTGTTACTGCTCGAACAACCTCCTTTTGCATACGTCACCCCCACGCTCCTGTCTACTCGGTTCCCCCCGTTTGCCAAACTGTGTCTGTGCGCGTGTCTGCGCGCGCGTGTCTTGTGCCTGTGAGCGCGCTCGCGCGTCCACGCACAGCCCGCCTGTGGCGTTACTGTGCTCCTCCCTCTTTCGTTCTGAGGGAGAGGGTTGGGCCCCTGTCACTCTCCTGTTTGACTCCATCCACTCCCCAGAAGTCTGTCCCCCTCCAGCTTCCCAGGGAGCTCTCGCTGGCTTACCAGAGAATCAGCGTTTTGATGACTCCTCGTGTTTGTTCACGGACGTGCAGCGTCGACATTATTAATGGCGGCCCTTTTCCCTCCCGTCTTCCGGTCTCAGCACAGCCACTACTTCCGCTGTCATGTCCATGCAGATGATTCTCAAATGTGGGTCTCTGGCTGGTTCTTGCCATTTACAGACCATATTTCCCAACACTTCCAGAGTGTTCCTTCCAGCATCAGTCTCCGAGTGCCCAATTTGAAATCCTGTTTTCTTCCTTAACCCGCCTCCGCTCGCGCGCGCCTACTCCGAGCCGGTGGGTGTCCGCACGCACTAGCGCGCACACACACGCGCATGCGCACGCACACATTCCCGCCGCTCTGCCCCCGGGCCTTCTCTGTCTCCCGCACCGCCCTGACCGTGTCTTCCAGGCCGGAAGCCCGCTTACGCTTTACTCCTTCCTTACCACATTCAGTTCGTGGTGGAATCAATGTGTATTTGGCTTTCATAACATCTCTCTTTTTTTTTTTAAGATTTTATTTATTTATTTGAGAGACAGAATGAGAGAGAGAGAGAGAGCATGAGAGGGGGAGGGTCGGGAGGGTCAGAGGGAGAAGCAGACTCCCCGCCGAGCAGGGAGCCCGATGCGGGACTCGACCCCGGGACTCCAGGATCATGACCTGAGCCGAAGGCAGTCGCCTAACCGACTGAGCCACCCAGGCGCCCTTTCATAACATCTCTTGTCTACGTTTTCTCTTTTCAAGTTTACGCTACTTCAGTCCTACTTCAGTAGCTCATTGCCTGTGACTTACTGCCCTAAGGGGTTTCAGAAGCCTGTATGTTTTTCTCAGCACCTAGATTATGCCTCTCCTCTGGTCTGAAATCCGGGGAGTCCCCCAGGCCGGTAGAAGCACGTCAGCCTGTTGATGTGAAGCTTCTGTCACGTGACGCCAGTGTACTCTTGAGTCCTGTCCTCGCGAGCTCTGACTTGTGCTCCACAGACCTTACGGCCCCTACTCTGACCTGGTTTCTGTCTTTGCCCCCTTGGTATGCTACCTCCCTCCCTCCTGGCCTCTCTCCAGGCTCCTCTTTATCCTGAAGCTTTCACCAATCACGTATGAGTGATTGAAAAAAATCTTTAAGGGATGCCTGGGTGGCTCAGTCGGTTAAGCATCTGCCTTCGTTGGGCTCAGGTCATGGTCCCGAGGTGCTGGGATCGAGTTCTGCATCGAGTCCCCCATCGGGCTCTCTGCTCTTCCTCTGCCTGCTCCCCCTGCTTATGTTCTCTCACTCTTTCTGATAAATAAATAAAATCTTAAAAAAAAAAAATCTTTAAGTATGAGTGATTCTTTTATATTTTGAGAATATTTTATATCTCTTCTAGAACATTTTACCATATACTGTGGCCATTTAAGTTTATTTTATTGCCTCATTAATCTCTAACCTACAGGCTTATAGTTTTAGATTATTAATATATATTAAATAGAAAAAGGACTGAACAAGACATTATAAGGTCTTGCTACCCAGCTATGTGAATTTGAGCAAGTCATGTTACCTCTTTGTGCCTTAGTTAAATTAATTCTTGGGAGTCAAGTGAGCCGATAATATATACATACAATGTAAAATTTCCTGTAGGGCTCAATAAAGGTTTTCTGTCCAGTACATTTATCATTTACTTATAATGTTTCCAAAATGTAATACAGCAAAATCTTCATTATGTCAGCCACCACCATAATGGCCCTCAAAGAGAAGCTGGTTCAGATGGCAAGGTAGATTATTAGTAGTACCAAGTAGAAGTTCAGGAGATCTGGAAATGGAAACAGGGCAAAGCAAAGACTAAAATAGAGACTAGATACTGACCAAGAAGAATTAACTTAATTAACTACCACTTTTCTCTGGGGCTCTGGGTTTTTCTACAGTTTCCTGGAGGCAGAGTTAGATCTCCATACAGTGGGCTCAAGCTCCAGCAGTTCATTATAAGTACCTGTTTTTTGGCACTCTCAATTGAAATTGTAATTGGTCTCCATATTGTTATTACGAAATTGGTTTTATAATAATGACCCAGTGTTTGGGGATAGTGAGCGCCCTCCTCACTGCTTAGAGTTGAAGACCACTTGGTCAGAGATGGTAGATCATTCCCCACATGGATCGGAGGAGCTCATGGGCTCGGATTTAGGATCGTGAAGTGCCTTCCAATCATCCAAGAAGGGCTGGCTTCTATTTGTTGTGACAGTAAGGGTGGCCTATGTTATTCTAAGCCTTACAAAATCAATAGACTGTTGATAAACACATGCAGGAAAGAATGGGCTGTTGGTGTTTTCTCGCCTCACTTCACCCCTTCTCTAAGCTTCCATTCCTACCACTCCATGGAAAATACTAGTCCAGGTAACACATGACCTTTGTTTGGCCAGGTGGTCACTTTCTCAGTTCTGGATCTTTCCGTGTCTTCCATTGAGCATATCTGACCAGTTCCTTCTTGAGATGTTTTCTTCTCAGGGCCTCTGTGTCACCCCAGTCTCCTTGTTTTTCTGCTTCCTCCTTGGCTGTTCTCTTTCAAGAGCTGGAAGATAAAAGCTGGAAGATGCAGGATGTGGAATGGATCTAGAAAATGTGTTTAGGGTGGTTGAGCTGCTCCTGGTACATTCCTCAGTGAGAAGATCTTTTTCTTAACTTTTCTTACATATTAGTGATGGGCATTTCTTACTCATCTGTCACAAAGCTGATTTTTTTAGACTTCCATTATAACTTTTTATTTTAATACTATTTTTTTGTCTTTCTATCTTCTTACTTACTTAATAGATTCTAGTAATTGTTCTCAGTGAATACCACAGGGTGATTCTGTGGAACTTTGTACTTAATAAAATTGGATGAGCTCCAATAGCAAAGAAGAAAGTATTAACTAATTTAATCAACAAATGAATGTTTCCCAGCCTGGTATACTATTCAGATTTGTGTTATAAGTTTGTGAATAAATTGAGCTGCTTCTCCCCTAGGGACTTCAGTCAGATATGTGGTTGTGGGAATCTTTTTCTTTCCCACACCGCTTCACATTTTAAAAATTCTTCTGCAGGAAGATCCCAACATACTATAGCTGTTCTTCCTTATGCAGCTAATTTTCCCTGGAGAGAGGCAGGAGAAGATCCAAATCAAGTTTTGTCTAGTCTATTTTCATGTCACTTCAGAAAGCTACTCTTTTCTGTTAAATTGTCAGTAAATATTCTAATCAAGCAAAAGGGAGGCAGTGGGAAATAGGAAGGGGGGAGAATAAATTCTAAACATTAGTGGAACACTCATGGATATGATTGATTATCCAATATAAAGTGCAGTGCTTTCTCAAGTACAGTGTATACAATATGTGTGTGTGTGTGTGTGTGTATTTCAAATATACCCAAGAGAATGGAAGTCCTGTGTTCATACAGCAACTTATTTAGCATTCACATACATTTTATATGAATGTTCATAGCAGCATTATTTATAGTAGCCAAAGGTTGAAAACAACTCACATGTTTATCATCTGATCAATAGATACACCAAATGTGGTAGATCCATACAGTGGAGTATTACTCAGCCACCAAAAGTACTGAAGTTCTGATACCTGCTTCACCATGGATGAGCCTCAAAAACGCTATGCGCCTTTATAGGTGCGCCTGGGTGGCTCAGTTGTTGAGCGTCTGCCTTCGGCTCAGGTCATGATCCCAGGGTCCTGGGATTGAGTCCCACATCGGGCTCCCTGCTCAGTGGGAAGCCTGCTTCTCCCTCTCCTACTTCCCCTGCTTGTGCTCCTGCTCTTGCTAGCTCTCTCTCAAATAAATAAATAAAATCTTTAAAAAACAACAACAACAACAAAAAAAACGCTATGCTAAGTGAAAGAAGCCAGACACAAAAGTCCACAACACGGTGATTCCATTCATGTGAAATGTCTAGAACAGGCAGATCCAGGGAAGGAGAATGCTCAGTGTCTGCAGAAGGTCCAGGGTGTCTGTCTGGAGAGACGGAAATGGTCTGGAATTTGATAGTGGGGATGGTTGCACAGCTTTGTGAATCTACTAAAAACCACTGAGTTGCACAGTTTGAAATGATTAATTTTATGGTATGTAAATTGAATCTCGATTTAATTAAAAACAACAACAACAGTTTTCTAAGTATCAAGCCCAGTGTTCCACATGAGCTAGACCACAGCAGCTCTTCCTTCAGGCACTCGACACAGCAGGGGTCATTCAGGTGCTCCCTCACTCCCACGTCCCTATTTGAATAGAAATAAAATTAAATCATGGACTAGGAGTCAGAATTATAAATCGTACTCCTAAATTGGAAGTGAGCACGGGCAGGATGCTGCTACCCTTATTCTGTGGCCAGAGATAAGGATGGTAGTACCTGCCTGTGTCAGGGCTTACCAGATTGACAGGTTCCTGATAAGTCATAAGCTTCCTGAGGGCCAGTGTTCTGACAGTTTTCCCCAGCATCTTGTACCTGTAGAAGTTTAATAAATATGTATTAAATGAATGTTGATTTAAATACATCAAGTCATAAGCGTGCTTTCTAACACACGGTCCTGCACGCCCGCGCCCTCCGCAGCATGTTGCGCGCTGCTGCGCTCGCCGCCGCTGGCCTCGGGCCCCGCCTGGGCCGCCGTCTCCTGTCGGCCGCCGCCACCCAGGCGGTGCCAGCCCCGAACCAGCAGCCTGAAGTCTCCTACAACCAGATCGTCATAAACAATGAGTGGCACGATGCTGTCAGCAAGAAAACATTCCCCACCATCAATCCATCCACCGGAGAAGTTATCTGTCAGGTAGCTGAAGGAGACCAGGAAGATGTGGACAGGGCAGTAAAGGCTGCCCGGGCTGCCTTCCAGCTGGGCTCACCCTGGCGCCGCATGGACGCATCCGACAGGGGCCGCCTGCTGAACCGCCTGGCTGATCTGATTGAGCGGGACCGGACCTACCTAGCAGCCTTGGAGACCCTGGATAACGGCAAGCCCTGTGTCATCTCCTACCTGGTGGATCTGGACACGGTTCTCAAATGCTTCCGTTATTACGCTGGCTGGGCTGATAAGTACCACGGGAAAACTGTTCCCATCGATGGGGACTGCTTCAGCTATACCCGCCATGAACCCGTCGGGGTGTGCGGGCAGATCATTCCGTGGAACTTCCCGCTCCTGATGCAAGCCTGGAAACTCGGCCCAGCCCTGGCGACCGGAAATGTGGTTGTGATGAAGGTAGCTGAGCAGACTCCACTGACTGCCCTCTATGTGGCCAACCTGATTAAGGAGGCCGGCTTTCCCCCTGGCGTGGTCAATATTATTCCTGGATTTGGCCCCACAGCTGGGGCCGCCATCATCTCCCATGAGGATGTGGACAAAGTGGCCTTCACAGGCTCCACCGAGGTTGGCCGCCTAGTCCAGGTTGCTGCAGGGAGCAGTAACCTCAAGAGAGTGACCCTGGAGCTGGGGGGCAAGAGCCCCAATATCATCATGTCAGATGCAGATACGAACTGGGCCGTGGAGCAGGGCCACTTCGCCCTGTTCTTCAACCAGGGCCAGCGCTGCTGTGCGTGCTCCCGGACCTTTGTGCAAGAAGATGTGTACGCCGAGTTTGTGGAGCGGAGCGTTGCCCGGGCCAAGTCTCGTGTGGTTGGGAACCCCTTTGACAGCCAGACTGAGCAGGGGCCGCAGGTGGACGAAACTCAGTTTAAGAAGATCCTTGGTTACATCAGATCTGGAAAGGAGGAGGGGGCGAAGCTGCTGTGTGGTGGAGGGGCTGCTGCTGACCGTGGCTACTTCATCCAGCCCACCGTGTTCGGAGATGTGCAAGACAGCATGACAATCGCCAGGGAGGAAATCTTTGGGCCAGTGATGCAGATCCTGAAGTTCAAGACCATAGAGGAAGTCATTGGGAGAGCCAACAATTCCATATATGGGCTGGCTGCAGCTGTCTTCACCAAGGACTTGGACAAGGCCAATTATCTGTCCCAAGCCCTCCAGGCTGGCACTGTGTGGGTCAACTGCTATGATGTGTTTGGGGCCCAGTCCCCATTCGGCTGCTACAAGATGTCTGGGAGTGGCCGGGAGCTGGGAGAGTATGGGCTGCAGGCATGCACCGAAGTGAAAACCGTCACGGTCAAAGTGCCTCAGAAGAACTGAAGAACTGTGCCGACTCCCAGCGGAGGTCAAGGACATCAGCAGCAAAACCAAGAAAAATGACACTTGCACACTAAAAGTCTCAAAAGAGAAATTCTCTTACAAAATCTCTTGATCAAGAAAGTATCAGAACTTTAATTGATAGATGGGGGTGGGTGTGAAGCAAAGAGTACCGGGAAAGCCTTTTACGTGCCAACAGTACTCCTAGCTTTCAGGCTGATTTTTCAAAACTAGATTCAAATGTCTTATTCTGTCCATCTGATAGATTTCTGTAACTTGCCTTTATAGGGGAACAAAAAGCCATTTTTTACACTTGTACTAACAAGTCAGGGCAACAGCTATGCCTTCCTCTGTATTCTGGACTAAAATTCATTAAAAACAATGCTGCTGGGGGGTGGGAGGATGGGTTAGCCTGGTGGTGGGTATTGAGGAGGGCACATTCTGCATGGAGCACTGGGTGTTATGCACAAACAATGAATCATGGAACACTTCATCTAAAACTAATGATGTAATGTATGGGGATTAACATAAGAATAAAAAATAAAAACCAATAAAAAAAAAAAAAGAGTGCTTTCTAAACCTCAAGCCCTGTCTGTATATATGAGATTATGGCTTTAATATATTCTGGTCTATTCCTGGAAATTTAAAGACAATTTGGATGTTATATTGTGCTGAGGTGTTTTGTAATTAACTTATGGCCACACTGAATCAACTTCTCTTTTAGGCTTTGCAGTATTAAAACATGTGCTGACACCAAGAATAAAGGCAACTCATGTTGCTTTTGATTCTATGAAGAATTATTTAGATGCAATTTATGATGTGACAGTGGCTTTTGAAGGGACTATTGATGATAAAGGGCAGCGGAAAGAAGCACCGTCCATGGCTGGTGAGTTTATATTTTCAATTATGTCATATATTTGTGAGTGTGTAATTATTCTCTTTAATGGGTACGTGTACTTCATAACATTTACTTGATATATTTTCTAGGTAGATACTTTATCTATTTTCCAGGTATTTTTTTATTAATCCATAACAGTTTGAATTTCATGAGTCCTGCTAATTTTGGTACTTCCTCGTTGCCATATTAGTCCTTTGGACTTGCCCAATAATCATTAACTCAGCTTCTTTCTACCCAGACTTCACACATAAGAATGGAAGGCTACATAAATCAAAGGAAGGGAATGTGGAGGAGAGCGCTAACCTAGTGGTACTGAGGTATACTGATGGCCAGCATTCACCTTTATATGGACTTTTATATAATACTTGTGAAATTTAGTATCTTTGGCAAGAAGAAACAGTTAAATACGACTCTTTGTTTTTTCAAACCTGTGCTGGGTTTTTGTTTTGTTTTGTTTTGTTCCATGCCCAGCGTGGAGCCCAACAAAGGGCCCGAACCCACGACCCTGAGATTGAGACCTGAGCTGAGATCAAGAGCCGGACGCTTAACTGACTGAGCCATCCAGGTGCCCCTATAAAGACTTTTTAGCTATTGCCTCTGCGTATGTCAGATATAACAAGAAAAAATAGAATTTTAAGTGAGCAGAATATTTTAGTTAAACATGACCAAAGACACTCTTGACGGATAGAGAAATTTAAATACGGGATTAGACCAACAAGGAAGTGCGGAGTGTTGCCATCACCTTTCTGAAATGTCCATTCGAGCTGTGATTGAGAGGTAGAACACGAGCTTTTTATGTCACATCGGTGGCTGTTGAAGGTAGAAATACCAGGCCTATCAGAGTGTGTGTGTGTCAGTGGGACCTCTTGAATGCTGGTGTTCAGAATATTGTCCAGAAGACAGACAGAGTACCTCCCCGGAGCGGGAAGTTGGGAGAGAGGACCAAGGGATGAAGCATTAATGGGGGGGTGAATGGGGTGAAAATCGGTCATAGTGGCTGGAAATACAAATCTGAAGTAGTGGGGCACCTGGGTAGCTCAGTTGTTAAGCATCTGCCTTCTGCTCAGGTTATGATCCCAGGGTCCTGGGATCGAGCCCCGCGTCGGGCTCCCTGCCCTGCAGGAAGCCTGCTTCTCCCTCTCCCACTCCCCCTGCTTATGTTCCCTCTCTCGCTGTGTCTCTCTCTGTCAAATAAATAAAAATCTTTAAAAAGAAAAAACAAGTCTGAAGTAGTAAGACTGATTACTCTCACAATTGCCTTTGACACAGAGCAGTTGTCACGTTGGAAGCTGAAGATTTTTTTCACTTTAAATGGAATTTTTTGGAATACATTATACATCAAACAGTTTAAAAACCACAACTCTATAAAGTGTACAGTGAAATGGCTTGTTTTCCACCACGTCCCCCTCCCCTCGGGGTCCAACTTTCCCTGCCCAGAGGTAACCACTTTTCTTAATTGTTTGTGTATCATGTGTGCAAAATTAAGTCTACATTCTTACTCTAGAAATCCTTCCCTTGTTATCAAAAAAGGCAATGTGTTAATATTTTTTCTTCCTTTTTTTTAACCATCAAAGAAGTCATTGACCTATTTTTACATTTGAAAACACATGCATTTGGTTGTTCCAACGGTATTATCACTAGTTTATTGCTGTTTAAAAAATGAGATTTATTGAACATGTTTTAATTATTTATGAGAAACAGATATAATTCCCATAATTACCTTTGCAAAATGCTTTCATTATGCCACGTCCTGGTCATAAGAGCTCCTGGCTTAGGCAGTGCTCACAGGCCAAGTCCCACCCTCTTAAGCCTGCCCCATGAGGACTCCGTATCCTAGCTGTCCCTCTCTTTCACTCCCTTGCCTTCTGGAATGGAAGGCTGTGTATAGGCCAGGCCTCCTTTCCAAGTGAAACCCCTCCCCTCTGTTGCCCTCCCCCAGCTTTGCTGTTCCCACAACATTCCTCTTCCCTAGCTCATTTGCTTTCTCTTGCTTTGGCACTCCTAGTGGTACTAAGTGCTTAAGCCACAAGGTTAGCGCTCAGCATATGGTAATTCTTTACCTTCCGGTAACAGGGTGAGAAGCCTTGAGGAAGAAAACCATTTTAGACTTGCATTGTCTAGATTCCCAGACCCCGCCCGCCCCACTGCTCTGCTTTCTCTACTGCATACACATTAGCTGACAGTGGCTTTGTGTTGTCCTTACAAACTGTCTCTCTTGGAGAAGGTTGGCTTTTCTATCACACCCAGAAGCCATGTGGAAAATAAATCTGTCATTTCAATCAATTAAGGGTGAATGTTTCCACAAGGAAAAATACACCAGAGTAAAATCAAAAGACCGAAGACAAACTGGGAAGATATTTGCAACTTAGATCACAGAAAAAAAAGCCGGATTTCCTTGACATACAAAGTGCTTCTACAAATTGATGAGAAGATGATCAATAACTCAGTAGTAGCTCACAGAAAAAAATGCTCCATCTCACTCATAATAAGAAAAATGCAAATTAAAATTTTTAGCAAGATACCATGTTTTACTATCAGATTGGCGAAAATTCCAGTTTCGGGTTTGGTAACAGGCCCGTGGGTGAAATTCCAGTACAAAAGTCAGGTCCGTACTTTGCTGTTAGGGGTGCAGTGCTGTACGGCCTCCGTGGAAGCCGCCCTGGCGGGGGCTGCCAGCTCCACAAATGCGTGTACATCACTGCTGCTGAGAGATTTCACCAGTATACTCTGCACACGAGAGGCGACAACTGGTTTTCGGTATTTACAAATTGATTTTAATCGTGAGACCGGGACCTGTAGCTTGAGAATCCCCACTCTCGTTATTATATAAATTGATTGCTATTCTGCTCTACTTTAATCTGGTGTAGATTAAGATGCACTTTAAATTTATGATGTAAGTTGAGTTAGGTATAAAATTCCATAACTTAGAATATCGTAAGTACTTGGTGGTTGAGTGTGATTAGTATTAAATATTATCTCCATACATAGTGGACTATCATTCAATACTCATATTTGATAGCCCAATTAAAAAACATTTCCATAGTTGCTAGATTGTGCATTTATATGCCGCAGGCCTGTCTTCTCAAAGCGTTGTAGGAGTATCACAGTTCCCTCGAGTCACCTGGGATGATTGTTGACCATGCAGGGCCTCAGTTCGCTCTAGGCTGCTAGCATGGATTGGCTGCAGGTGGGGGCAGAAGCTGCGGGGGGTAGGGGGGTTGTGAATGAACTCTTGAACTCTTGTGATCACGAGTCTTACGTTTGGGCCTTAATGCGGCCTCATGTTAGAGAGCTCGGCAGCAGGTAGTGTCCCTTGTGCTTCCTATTTCGTGATGTCTTTCGTTATAAGGTGAATAGTGATCAGAGCCCACCTGGGCGTGCACTCTGTGGTTCATCTGGTCTTGTCATCAGGGTCTTTGTCTTCTCTGGACGATGTCCATTGGGCAGAGGAGAGACAGGACAGCCTGATTATAGACTTATTTAAATTCTGTTTCTACAGTGGGTGGTATACCGTAATAAATTGTGAAGTTAAGGATAACATTTGATGTTCTGTTTAACCATTTAATGTGGTGCTAGGTTACTTTTTCCTGTTTAATATTTTCTTATATGAAAAGAAAACTTATTTGGAGGGGAAAATTACAGGTAACCCAAAAGAAGGAAGAAAACTCCATAGGCTCACCTGTCCAGATGCATTTAACATTTTGGATATTTTCCTCAAAATCTTCCTTTTTGTAATGTCATTGTGTTGGAGTATGTTTGTGCCTTTGGATATTTTTAGGTGAGGTCATTTGTATATATTGTTTTCCTTTATATCCTGCTTTTAATCATAAACATCTTTATACGTCAGTATATACACTTCTGTAATGTTTTAAAAATGCTACATAACATCCATTGCCATGACTGTACAATGGTTTATCTACCCAGTTTTCTACTCCTGGATTTATTTCATCTTTTTCCTCCCAGAGGGAAAGGGGGCGGGTTATAAGGCAGCATGTGGGAGCCGGGTGAGGTGCCAGGGTGGAGGTTGTCCCAATTCAGCACATGCACGTTCTCTGCTCTTCTCTCCTGTCTCCATCTCGCCTGCTCCCCAGGCACAGAGCAAATGGAACTTAGTTTCTCCAGAGACTAGTCCTGTGACAAGTATGAATACTTGAAAGACTCCTATTACCCTGGCATATATACACTCTAGGGCTCTACTGGGGAAGTTCTAATTAGAAAAAAATTATACCTCGGGGCACTTGGGTGGCGGGTCCTGGAATCGAGCCCCACATGGGGCTCCCTGCTGAGCCCCCGCTCATGCTCTCCCTCCTTCCCTCCCTCTCTCTCTCAAATAAATAGATATTTTTAAAAATATTATACCTTAATTAGAATACTTTTTCTGTATATTTCTAAATATTATGGGAAAATTTTTATTCATGCAATAGGAAATAAGCTCCAATGAACATAGTTTTTACAAGTATAGATACACGAAGCTTTATTAAGTATTGAGGAAAACCTTTATGTCACTTCTTTTTTTAAAATTTTATTTATTTATTTGAGAAAGAGAGAGAGCACGAACAGGGGGAGGGGCAAAGGGAGAAGCAGGCTCCCCGCTGAGCAGGGAACCCGATGCGGGACTTGATCCCAGGACCCCGGGACCATGACCCAAGCCGAAGGCAGACGCCTAACCGACTGAGCCACCCAGGCGTCCCCCTTTATGTCACTTCTTTCTTGTCTCCTGAAAGTCATTTAGTGTTTATGTGATGATTCTCTCATGGTTTTCATTTGGGTCCTCACCCCAGACACTGGGCTGATGGGGCTCAACTGCCATCCACGCTGGCTCTTGGTCCTCTCCAAGCCCTACAAGGGAAGTAGCACTTGCCTACAGGGACTCCTGGAGGTTGGATGAAATAATGTACACAAAACTGTGTTGTAAACACCAGGGTACCATGTAAATTTTACTCCCATATGCATTTGGGAGTCCTTCTCAGTGTCCGTGCCTCTTCCCTCCTCAGCTGATGTCTCGTGAAACACACTGCTGTCACTTCCCAGGCACCGCGGTTACAAGTTCAAGTCTGCTCACTTTTACCTCCTCACAGCCTGTGTCTGTGCGTGTCCCTGCAGCGTCAGCTGGCTTACTGTTTAATTACGGCGATGTTGAGCAGGGGATGTAGATAATTAGGTGAAAGTAGAACTGGTGTTGGGATCTGCATTTTCATGGATCAGAAATACAAATGAGAGGGTGAGATGAGAAGTTACATGAGGCCAAAAAGTTGGAATCGCTGCGTCCCTGTCAGGCCGGCGCTGCCCCCCTATCTCTGCCTTGCGGACTGGGGGGCAGGCACCGAGAGCGAGTCCGTCTGCCCGGGGCTGATCAGGGATCGAGACCCAGGCTGCCGGATGCACTGTCCGTGCTCTGAACCTCTGCGTGGTTCTGCCGCTAAAATCCTTCTCTGCAGTTCCTCGGTTCCGTAACTGACAACAGAACTTGAGAAAACTAAGACAAAAATTCCGAAGAGTCCCGTCTTCCCCCTGCGCTTCTTGTGCCTTTATCATCAAAGCCAGTTCCCTCCTGAAAGTATGTAACGGCAAGATAATTTTGATGACGGAAATGCCGCGTGTTATTAAGGCTTGACACCAGTGGTAAAGAAGAATAATTGTAGAGAATACCTAACAAAAAACAAACGTGTGCAGAGTCCAAAGACTAGAGATTTCTTGAAGCTGAAACTCTTCCTTCAACCACCAGAGCATGTTCTTGGAACGCTGTCTTTGAACACATTTCAACTTGAGATGACAGGTCTCAGCCTCCTCCTTGCATCCACCTAGGGAACATAGTGTCCTCTTAAATCTCTTAGGAACATCTTGTTCTCCAGGGAATTTAAATCTGTTCATAATCTCACCTTTTCACCAAAAGCCATCCACAAGAAGGGGAATTTCGCAGCTCAGAGTTCTTTCTTGTCTTGGAATAAATCCTGGCCTCATTGCTTGTGCAACCCAGGCTGAAAGAGGACTGCCTGCTTTGTTCCAATTAGCCTGTCTTAGGAACTGTAGTCACTTACAAGCTCATAGCTATTCCACGGAAAGAATTTTGGTTCCTAAACCAAATATGATTTGTGAAAATACGGCGAAGGCCAGGAGAGCTGGGAGTACCAGTGAGTAGAAACCAATAGCAAGTCCTAGAGGAGTGGAGCTCTCTTTCCCACGTCTGTGCTGGGTGTGTGACACTCCGTGACAGGCTGATGTGCCCAGCCAAGGCACTAGGGATTCAGGGGTTTAAGTGCTTCATGCTCCCAGGGCTCTGGCAGAGTGAACCAGACAGACTTCATCTGCGCCCTTCGGGGACTCATGGCCTCGTGGGAACAGAAGTTACAGTTTGTGATGAGCAATATGCTTGGAAACAGCAGACTGGTCTCCTGCAGGTAATTCGTGAGCCTGAGGGTGGCTGGCATTTGGGCACCCTTCAGAGGGTGGGTGTGGACTTGCAGTGGAGTCCAGCTTCTACTCCTGGGTCGCCTGTGGAATTGTAGGTTATTTTATGAAAACTAACATTTGGTACTATCCATTTAGCTTAGTGACTTCAGGTAATTGTGGTAGACTGGGATGTTATAACACACTCTTCTACTTTAGCTTGAAACCTAAAACCGGGCGCCTGAGTGGCTCAGTCGTTAAGCGTCTGCCTTCGGCTCAGGTCATGATCCCAGGGTCCTGGGATCGAGTCCCACATCGGGCTCCCTGCTCAGCAGGAAGCCTGCTTCTCCCTCTCCCACTCCCCCTGCTTGTGTTCCTGCTCTCGCTATCTCTCTCTCTGTCAAATAAATAAATAAAATCTTAAAAAAAAAAAAAAAAAAACCCTAAAACCATCAGTGTAGAATTCTTATTTTCTTTTAACTTTTTTCTTTTTTGCTGAAGAATCTGCTTTTTCATCATTTAAAAATATATTTTACCTCGTTTTCAGTTGTTTTATATAACCGTGAGTTGTAAAATAACAAAAAATGAAATTTTTTTGTTTCTTGTTAGAATTCCTCTGCAAAGAATGTCCAAAAATTCATATTCACATTGATCGTATAGACAAAAAAGATGTCCCAGAAGAACAAGCATTTATGAGAAGATGGCTTCATGAGCGTTTTGAAATTAAAGATAAGTGAGTAACAGCAGTTCTCCTACTTCAAAAACTTGGGTTCAGCTACATTTCACTGTAGTAAATAAACAATTTGAAACTAACGTAATGCTTTTTTGTAAACTCAGGTCCAGTCTGTTCATGTTTTAAACCTTACTGTTACATTGTCTGTGAAAGAACTTGTTACAGGAGGCCTCCCTGTTTTCATTCACAATATTTCCTAGGCACTCTGTGGTGGGATGTAAAATTAGAAAACACCTCCCCGCCACCAGCTTTCCACTGTGAGATGCCCCAGGTGTGCATTCCCGGGTCAGACAAGGAGGTGGTGTGTTTGAGAACTAGCCGGCATGCCCACGATGCCCAGAAAGCGAAGCTGTGGGATAGAGCGTTGTGTCTGATGTACGTGTGGAAAGGACACGGGTATGTTTGTTGGAAGAAGAAGGGGCAGGTGACGTTCTGACCAAAATGTCTTTTGCTGTTAGTATTTTGGGGCCTAAACAGTTTCTGGGATTGACCTTGTGCTCATCCGTGCTAATCACATCACTTCAGAGCAAACAACAGTGTTGACCCTTGCTGAGCGGTGCCTGTCAGTAAGTTACAGGTGTATTTAGATACCTCCGGGGGAGGCACAGCTTAGTGAGGTCGAACTGCGGGAGGGAATGTGAAGTGCCACTTACTGACGGGCGAACCCGGGGGAGCAAGTGCCCTCCATAGCGGGTAACAGGACCCCTTTGATTTCATACAGTTTTCTAAAGGAAAAAAATTTAGAATTTTCTTCTCTTTTTAGGAAGATAAAAAGTGGATGTCAGGTTTTGATATGATACTTAGAAACTGAATTCTCTTGGATGAAAACTTCAGGGTATATTATTTACTGTTTGTTTGCTGTCAATGAGAGTTTTATCCTTTCTGATGCATGTCCTGTTTCTTGAAAGATATGTTTTATTCTTTTTTTTTATTTTTTTTTTTAAGATTTTATTTATTTATTTTTTAGAAAGCGAGCGAGAGAGAAACAGCATGAGAGGGGAGAGGGTCAGAGGGAGAAGCAGGCTCCCTGCCGAGCTGGGAGCCCGATGTGGGACTTGATCCCAGGACCTTGGGATTATGACCTGAGCCGAAGGCAGACGCTTAACCATCTGAGCCACCCAGGCGCCCGAAAGATATGTTTTAAACATCTCTACTTTTTATCTTCTTTTTGAAAAAAAAATAGATCCATTAATTATAGGATGCATTGTTTACTAAAACCACATTGTTTACTAAAACCAGTGGCGTTTTTACAGACTCAAAAGTAAGACTTCCAAAATTAGGTTTGTGTTCAGAAATTTTACCTGTGTTTTATTCTCCTGATACGCTTCTCAGCAGACTGCTCTGTTCCTTTCTTTGTTGTATTACGATAAGATTATTTCCTCATTACCTCTTTTGAGTTAACTTTAAAAAGTGAAAATTATTAGAGGCGTGCTGCAATGAAAATGAGACTCTGAAATTTATAGACAAGTAATTACATTTCCGTATTTCATTGACCATCAGTTGTACATGACGTAATTTATTTCACCAACCATTCACTGCCACACACTTGGGCTATGGAAGAAATTTCAAAAGTAAAATACATGAATCAGTTCTCAGAAAAGAAAAAAAATGCCTGAACAATATGCTTAACATCCAATGTATTTCGTGTTATAGGGTGCTAATACATACTTAGAATGAGTCTGGACCTTTTAAAACAGTGCTTATCGCTAGGGAATGTGTTAAGGTAATGGAAGGATTTTCTGCTTTGTACTTGTGTTTGAGAGTTTTATGCTCAGTCTGTCCTGCTGTTAGAACTTTACATTTTTTTGGGCGCCTGGGTGGCTCAGTTGGTTAAGCGACTGCCTTCGGCTCAGGTCGTGATCCTGGAGTCCCTGGATCGAGTCCCGCATCGGGCTCCCTGCTCGGCAGGGAGTCTGCTTCTCCCTCGACCCTCCCCCCTCTCATGTGCTCTCTCTCTCTCATTCTCTCTCTCTCAAATAAATAAATAAAATCTTTAAAAAAAAAAAAAAGAACTTTACATTTTTTAAATAAGATGGGAAAATGAATTGACTATGCTATTTTTTCATTTTTGTACCTATTTTTATAATCCCATGTGAATGAGGGCTTTTGGGGGGAAACTCCATATATGTTATAAGAACTGCTGATCTTCTCTTTGACTTCCGATGGGATGGGAGCTGTAGGAAGAAGGAGTAAAGATGGGGAAGATGGAGATGAAGTGAGATGGGTCATTACCCATGTGTGAGCGAGTCTGGTTGTTGCAGAATTATTAAAAATCTGAAGCTTAAAAAAAATCTTCCTACAAAACTACTTAAAACCATCTTTTTAAAAAATTCCATATAATACAATTCATCTACACTAATCATGAGCATATAAAGATATTTTTAAAGTCTAGAAACTCCATTTAAATCAAGTGTCTAGGTATTTCCTCATTGATCTTTTTTTCCCAAGGACCTTATAGCTTTTCCAGCATGTAATAGGCATCCAGAGCTATTTATTAAATTAGACTATTAAATGACTAAACCTGAAACTTTAATTTTTTTTTTTTTCCATTCTGGCCATAGGTTGCTTATAGAGTTTTATGATTCACTGGATCCAGAAAGAAGAAACAAATTTCCTGGGGAAAGTGTTAATTCTAAATTAAGTCTCAAGAAGACTTTACCATCATTATTGATCTTAAGTGGTTTGACTGCTGGTATGCTTATGACCGAGGCTGGAAGGAAACTCTATGTAAGAACGTGGATTTATGGAACCTTAATTGGCTGCTTGTGGGTTAGTATAAAAGCTTGAGCAGGTAGCTGTCTGCAGGCAGTGGGATGTGCTCCGTGGTTCAGTGTTGGCAGCCACACCTTACATCAAATTGTTTCCTGATTTTAGTCAGAAGTGTAAATAAAGCCTTGTTGATTGAACATTGGATAAAATAGAATTTCTGATTAAAGCCGATATGCAGTTGGTCTTGGGCAAACATACATGGTTTTACAACTTTAGAACAGAAGCTGCTGGAAAGGGAAAAACTAAACAGTTTATGCTACACTTGGCATTTCCTATGAACTAATGTCATCTTCAGAAGACTCTTAGGATTGTATAATTTGTTATTGTTTTGTAATTCAGATGGCTGCGTTCATGAACATTAACTTGCAGTATATTTCACTGTATTTGTTATTTTTAATTTTTTACAACTTGACTAGTCCAACCTTTATCACTAAAGTATTTAGTATCTTGGAGCTATGTAATATTTTGCTTTTTGCTTAATGTCTCCAAGGAAGTGAAAGAAATTTTATTTAAGTGTCAAGAGGCATACCAAGGAAAAGGGCAAGAAATTGTCCCTGGGGAGGAAGCTCTGGTTAGCGCATGCTTTTATTGTATTGCATTATTATCCGATTTTACTTTATATTTGCAAAGTAATTAACATTTCTAATATTTATTGAAACAGCTTAATTTGCACACCCTGTATTGTATACAAAAGAATAATGTATAAAGTATGAGAATTAAGTTTAAGTTAGAATTGTGACCCTGATTCATTATAGCAGAACTTTACATTGCCCGGCTTTTTGAGGAGTTATGCTAAGCTCTTAGTACTTCCCAGCATCTGTGCCATAATTACTTGAAAACCTTCAGGTTTGCTATTATTTTTTATATCAAAATAATTAGTGTGAACCTTTATTGGACCTGAGTCCACAGATAATTTGAGGTGATGGGAGCCTTCAAACGTCTGACTAGATTTCCTAGCATGTGCCTTTGCCTGTTACTGTTGAGTTTAGCACAACATTTAATTCAGAAGTCATTTTTTTTTTATGCCCTCACGGTCGATTTCCACTGGGTTTGGATTCTTTTCCTTTGGCTTCCTGGCAGCCACAGCACTTCCTGTGCTGCTCGGTGCCTGGTACCGTACGTGCACAGGGAAGAACTGTAGCCGGCCAGGGCTTGTCCTGCTGCAAAGTTGTTCGTTTAAGCTCCTGTGAGCCAGCCTCGCTAGCTGCGGCAAAGGCGTTTTGCGTTTGTCTCATGTCAAGTTCACCTTCCACAGGCCAGGGAGATTTAATCCATCAGGACTGAATGAATTTGTTTAGTTCTCGTTGGTTTTAATGGGGCTACACAATTAATCCATATCACCTCAAAACAAGAGCTGTGTTTCCGGAACCAAATCACACAATTCACTTTGCAGTCATGAAATAATAAATTTATCCCGTGCAAGAGGATGACCTTTTTGGATCTGCTCTATTTTTATGTTACAACTTCAACTTGATTGCCTACCAGCCCTTTAAGATAACATTTCTGCCTAATGGATTTTGGTTGTAAAATTGTACCCATGCCCCCGATGAAACACACCAGCTGAATCATGATGAACAAAATGAAAATAATAAAGAAGGGAAATTTTGTCTAACCAGTTCTCCAGACCCAGAGAGCAGGCCATGTCGGACAGCACGTTTGCACAGCTGGGTAGTGTGAGTTGTCCATGTACATTAGCGTATGTGTGCGCACATCCCCTCAGGACACGGTCGGCCTAACTGTGCACGGCGGTGTAGGTCACACTTCTGAAAAGTGTTCTCATGCCAAATTGTCGTTTTCTCTTTCTTGTAAGGTGAAGGTTAAATCAATCCCATGTCTTTGTTAATACTTTTTTTAACAACCCTAAAGTTAGAACCTTTTTCTAATTAGATCAAAGCAAATGTAAGTTGTGCAACTTACCTTGAATATCATGGATATGCTCTAAATTTAAATTTTAAGAAGTAGTACCATTGGAATTATGTTGATTATAACTGATTTTAAGAAGTCACAGTGAACGGCATAAGATCACTTTGAACATCATGTTTCTTATGAACATACTTATATTCTCACAGAAGTTCTATGAGATATATTTGTTAGTTTAAAAATTTTGTATCAAAATATTTGGAAAATTAGAAGCTTCTTTTTAACATGCGTTGATATGATTTGAATTATTATTTTCTAAAATTAAGAGTCCTGTATCTACCTGTAAATCTTTTCACATATCATTTAAGCCTTTGTTTGTATTATTCTTATTATTGATTTGCAGCTTAGTTATTACTTAGTTTTTCTTTATAAGAATGCCATCAAAGTGCATGCTTTTATGTTTTCCAGAAAAGGGTGTGTTTGGACGAAAGTAAAAGAAAAAATAAAATCTTTCACTGTCTCTAATGTCTGTGCTATTTAACATTTTGCGACCCAGAAATTCCCCGACGGTCTTCAGTTACATTGAATAGGCTTTATGGCTGGTCCTACATTCTGAACTTATAAAATTATAATATTTTTTTCTCAAATATTGAGCAAGTTTTTAAAAATACATTGCAATACTCAAAATTGTGAAGCAATATATTAGTTTTATTATATAAACTCATCTATGTATCTTATACAATGTATATAGCAAGTATTAGTTGCTTGACAGTTCTGTGATCATTAGGGTACCTCACTGAGCCTTGTCCAGTGCCTAAGATTAGCCAGGTCGGTAAGTAAAGTACCAATCTGACTCATCCCTGCATCGTACATACTAATGATTTCTTTCATGTCTTCCATTTCCATGTGATTTTGTTTCCTGTATAGTGATAATCAATTTTCCTTTATATCCAGATGACGTAAGCTTTATTTTTCCTTTGTAATGTTACGTGGTTTATTATTACATTCACTGATTAGATCTGTGTCAATAAAGTGATCTTTTAAATAGATGGACCATTATGAAAATACAGTATATACAAAATTTGCCCATCAGGTAGAGACACGAAGTAACTGCCAGATACCTATCAGACTCACATTTAAGAAGACAGAAATGTCTGTCATAGTGATATTTCATGTGTACAATTGGAAGTGCATAGTACATTTTAACCACAATAGTATTTGTTCTTAATGTATTCGATTGAAGAAAAGATTGTCTTGGCAGATATTCCAGATACCACCTTGTAGTAAGTTACATATCTTTGTAAGTAGGATTTTTGGAGGGGAGAGGGAGGAGTTGGACTAGTTTTTTTGTTTTGTTTTTGTTTTTGTTTTAAGATTTTATTTATTTATTTGACAGAGAGAGACACAGCGAGAGAGGGAACACAAGCAGGGGGAGTGGGAGAGGGAGAAGTAAGCTTCCTGCGGAGCAGGGAGCCCGATGGGCTCAATCCCATGACCCGAGCTGAAGGCAGATGCTTAACAACTGAGCCACCTAGGCGCCCCTAGACTTGTTTTTTATTATGAGTTACACATACTTTTAAAGATTGGCTAACTTGGAATGTTATGTTACCATTTAGTATTTTGGCATTATACACAGACTAATTTAACCTAACAGTCAAACATTAGAATGAAAATTAGTACTTAGTCAAACTGGTAATTTGGAAACATTCAGGTATTTGATATTATATGGGTAAAATATCTATGTAATTGAATTTAAAAGTTCACTCAGATATTTTGAAGAATTAGATATACAATTACTGACTTATTTCAGTTTAGAGTAGTTATGACTCAACATTATCCCCAAGATTTCATTTGACACCTTCTCCAATTTGTGGACAAGAAAGTAAATCCGTTACTTTTACCAACTGGGGAGTTATTCTCAGTGTAGTCATGCATGAGATCAGATAAATACCTTACCCCGAGCAGGGGGCGGGGGGAAAGTTATTTTTCAGAAAGCGTCTCCAAACAGAAAGCTCAGTTATTTCTGTATTAAAAAAAATATCTGTTGAACAAACTCTCAGTAAATGTTTATTGATGGTCAGTTATTCCATCCAAATTATTAGTGGTTCATGATTTTATATGTGAATATGTAAGAAAGGCCTATTCTGCTAATTTTATCTTCATTTTTATAAATCATTGCACCTTAAAAAAAAGAAAAGATGCCACTGATGTTCTTTGTTCAGGAGGAAAGAATATTTGACTGTCTTGTCTCCTTATGGTATGTTCAGAATAAATTCTGATTTATTTTGAGTTTATTGGTGCTTCATTAATCCAGCAAAAAAAAAAAAAGGAAAATATAAATCTCAAAATTTACTTGGGGATATATGGTGATAAAATATCTACTGGGTGATGGTTATTTCACATATTTATGATAATGGGTATGTATGTTTTATATATGTGTATGTTTTATTGCCAACTAATAGCTACAGGATACATTATTTTATGATTATGTTTTTTTCTGATACTTGCTAAGGTTGGTTGGGTGCTTACTGTGTGCCAGGCAGTGTGCTAACCTCCTCAGCGTGGTGTCCCATCTCCTCACACGTGGACCCCGGACCGCAGTGTCGCTCAGCCTGGAGACTTAACAGCTGCGGGCCGACCGCCAGGTAGTGCGTCCTGGTGCTACCACTTGGTATTCCACCTTGGACAAGTTCTTTAATGTTTCTGTTTAAGTGTTCTCACTTGGACATTACAGATGATAGCTGTATTTACCTCAAAGGGTTGTTGGTGACTTGCTAAGTTATCAAAGTGCTGGCTGTATGTAGCACATGGAGTGTGGCAGGTGCTGAGCAAGTCTTTTTCGTCAACTTCTCTTGCTCCCAGTTTTACAGAGGAGGAAACGGAGACTCCGCATGTTTGAATACAGTACCAAGTCACACTAATACTTCTAGGAGAAAAACATGTGCCCATTCTTTTCTGCTTAACAAAGATGTAATGCAGTATTTCCTACTACCTCAGTGCCTTTAAAAGTAGATGGTCATAACTGTAATCGTAGTCACTTAAAGATGTTTTGTTTAAAATCTAAAACAACAAAGAATTACAAAAGGAAAGATTCTCCATCTCTCATGAGAAAATGTCAGGGTCTCCAAACTGACTCCATGGTGGGCTTGAGGGCTGAGGGGGTGTCTGTCCCTCATGTTGGTAGCACGGAGTCCCCACATTGGCAAAGGGTGATGTGGAACGGCAGATTCAAAGGTCTTTCCTTGTGGTGGCACAGACCACAGTCGTACTTGAAATGATCCCGCTGAAGTTCTCTTACTGTGGGAAGCCCCAAACCATCAATGGTCCGTAAGCACACTGCGTCCCTGTTTGAGCCGTCCTTTATCAATAAAATAAGGAGACCCCTTCTTTGCCTCACAGAGTTTAGTGAGAGTCAGGACATGATAGCTGTAAAAATGCATTTTTATATAGAGTTGAATATAAATGTGAGAGATTATCCTAATTCTTCCTAAATCACTTCAGCTCTCCTTCCTGTCTAGGACGTGTGAATAAGTAATTGTCTGTTACTGCCTGGTGCATTTTGGGATTCAAACACCCGCTTGTTGGCAGTGTTTATTACTGAATGTGTTCACAGTCGTTCAGCGTCCTGTCCTTGCGTACTTGAGTTACTGTCTGCGTGGGTCCCAGGTCACTTTCTGAATGATTTCCGGACATCTCACCAGTTTTCGCTTGTCCGTGAGCACCGTCCGTCTTTTCTCTCCCGTGCCCACCCCGTGGAAGGTCTCTGGAAAGATGGCAGAGGAGCTGGGCTCTTCTCATCAACACCCCGTCCCGCTGTTTGTCACCGGCCAGATGGGGCAGGCCGGGGACCACCCTGGGAGGTCATTTCTTGTCTGTATAATGGAAACAGGGACGCAGAAAGAACCCAGTCTAGAAGGAGGAGCACGTTCGAGTTAGGTGTCCGTCGGAGAGAACCATACCTAAAGCAGAATGCGCGGAGTCACAGTGTGGCGGCCGTGCGGGGGCCACGGGAGCAAGTCCGTCTGTGAAACACCCGGGGGCTGGGGAGGGAGGGGGTCTGCCTTGGCCGACTTGGTTTTCCTCGCAATGGCGCCAGCTCGAGTCCGACCTCTCCGCAGAAGGCCGGCGGACTCGCGGGCGCCCGGGCTTCCCCGCCGCCCCGGGGGCGGAGGCACGGCCTGCGCGGCGCCGCGGGGCGCAAACCCTGCGCGCGGGGCGGGGGCCGGGCCGGGCCGGGCCGGGCCGGGGCCCGCACGGTGCTCTCCGCAGCCGCGCGCGGGGCGCCCGCGAAGCGCGCAGAAGAGCCGGGCGGGAATGGAGGAGGGGCTGGCTCTGCGCGCGCACCGGGCCGGTCACCCCTGCCGCCCCCCGCCCCACTTCTGCCGCGGTGCCCGAGGGACCCACGCGGACGAGAGCCGCTCGCGACGCGGTCCGCTGTCGCCTGCTGCCGTCTAGGAGGCGACTCAGCACGAGTCAACGCGGTGGCTCTGATGGAGGCGCGCCCGCGACGTAGGCGCTGCGGTCGCACCGCTGACCACGCTGATGGTCGCGCCGCCCGTGTGTCTCTTGCGTCGCGGCCTTCGGTTGTCCGGGGGCGGAAGCAAGAACCGCGTGCGTGGAATTCGTCTCATCTCGTCCTGCCCTGGTTTGTGAAGGACCCCGGCGTCGGGGCGCTGGGCTCCGAGTCCCTCGCCTGCCGCCCGCCGGCCGACGGGCCCTGGCCCGGTCCGCAGGCTCGGATGCCTTAATTACAAACCACGGAGGAGGGCAGCGTTGCCGGCGTCGGCGGGCCGCGTGCGGCACCCGGGGTCGTGCCCGCCGCTCCGAGCGCGCCCGGGAAGGCAGCGCGGGGGACACAGTGGCAGACGCCGTTGCGCTCACCGCGAACCACGCCGGCCAGCTCGTCCGTGCAGACGTCCACAGGCGCCTTCTGCCCAAGGCCAGGCTACTCACGTTTGGGGCAGGTTTGGGGTACGTTTCTCTACGCTGGCAGGGGACGAGCACAAACTTGACACTGAAATGGAATAAAGTGCATTTACAACATCAAGCCCAAGCACTGTTGCCCTCTGTTCCCATGTGCCAGTATCTTCAGGCTTTTGTCTCTGCATTTCCTCTCCTCTCTCTTTTTCTAGAAGTTGAAATAAAAAAGCGATTTTAGATCAGAAGTAAATCCCGTACAGAGCATCCCTCCGTGTGTCTATGCGTCCCGTAATTCCTGGCTCTGGTTGTCCCGCGCGCACTCTGGTTGTCTGCCGGTTTTCTAACTTTCCCTAGCCTGTCGCTTTGTTTCCCCATCTATTTCATCACTGACTCAAGCTCTGACAAAACCTAAAGCAGCAACAGGCCCAAACTGGACTTGGCCTCAAGGCAGTGCACAGAAATGTTAGTCTGAGAGTCAGGAGACCTGGAGATGTAGGCAGCCAGGTCCCAAATCTGTGACAGCGGGTCACTTCCACGGCCGGAGTCCAGTTGCCGGAGACTTTCCATCTTCCCGTCTGTCATTCCCTCATACCCGGGCGGCCTCC